GAAATGGCGGAACATTTTTCCGGGGAGGGATGACCTCGAAGCCCCCTAGAAGCTCGCGGCTACGTCGCTCGCCATCCACGTCAATGGCGTCAAAAGCTATTACAGTAGTACAACCCCCATTTCAGAAATTCCTGGATCCGCCCGTGTCAAGTTCTCGCAAGCGAAACAAGTCGAGCTTGCGCTCTTCAATCTTGCGCTCTTCGCATTCAAGTTGTGAGCGTCGCAAACATTTTTCTCTTTCCGAGCTCGGCTTTCGCAGCTCGACTTGAAGGTAAGTCTAACTTCAATCCAGACGCTAAAATGCTCAAGCCCAATGTGAAGGTCCACTCTTACCATCCTTCTCTTTGGTTTCTACTGATGTATTTTCCAACGGATCCAGCGTAGAAGTTTGCTCCGAATCTACAACACAAAAGAGCTTAATCGACAGGCAAAAAGGTGTATGCTTTGATATGCTTGTACATTCGTCAATCTCAAAAAAGTCCGTAAAAGACTAAGACCATTTGAATACTCAGAAGTAGATATCATGACAAACCTGCATCGCTGGCTGAAAGTGGCAAGAAACCTTCATCACTCGTAAAATCCAATTTGGAGAGTTTTGAGCTCTCGTTTTCCTCTTTCGAGGAAGATTTTCGTTTACGTGCTGCAGCAGGTTTTCTTGCTCTGTGCATTAGTTTGCAGTTGGATCCCTTAGAACACTTGCCAGTCGTTGAGAATTCTTCACACTCAAGGATGTGTTTTTTGTTACACTGTCAACCAAAAAAAAACAACAACTATGTTTTAATTGTAAATAATTACACAGTAAACGATACCAAAACGACGGGAAACACACCCATCGACAGATCACTTCAGGGAGAAGCGCTCAATTGTCAAGGCTTGACAACAAACGCACTCCGCCTCAGGGCCAAATTTCTATGCCTACTGGGCGTGTATATCCAATGCTGTTGACACTTTTGTCGCTACCGAAGATTATTTGGCCTTCTCTGGCTACTTTTGACAGCGGAAGCGCAGCATTCAGCAAGATCCCTTGTTATATGGCTAGCTCCGTGAACAGGCAAGATGAACCGCATCCTGCGCTTTGATTGGCTACACGAGTGGGTAAGATGGCACAACCTCGCCAGCTCGGAATTACCCGCCGTGTCTTGCAAGAAAATAGTGTCCTTATTTCGTATAATAAATCCTTTATTGACTGAGCTTGTTCGGTCAAGATGATTTTGGCCTCGTTCTTTTTCTGCGTGTTTCTGGACCTCAACTCCGTCTCGGTCCATAAACACGAGGGAAAAAAAAAAAGAAAAGAAAAAGGACTTGGCAAATGCCCAGCCATCTTGACCTCTGGCTTGGTCAATAAACCAAATATATAATCCTACCCTTCAATGCCTTTGAAGAAGAGTAAATTTAATCTTTAGCAGAATGCACGCAACCTTTGTATTGCCTGTTTATGACAGCATACATACACATGTATGTATTTCAAGTACTTGATAATCCACTAAGTGCCCGGCCCTTAAGCTTCAGTAATCTTCTCAGAGGCGTTTTTATGAAGTTCTCACGCAATACTCCCCCCCACATGAGAGTGGCATTGCATGGCAATGCAAATGAGAGCAGCGAACAAGAGAATAATCAACAATGAGAGTAAACACACCTGTTGCCCTCGTGAACAGAACCCTTTGAGAAAATCCTCGCACACTTCCGCCTTCTTGCTAACGTTGACGTGAGAATAAGGACAGTTGTCGTGGGAACATTTACCACGAAGAAAAAACTGACAAACTGGCATCTGAAATGATGAAAAAAGACACTAATGTTACAGAAGGTTAATTTGGGTATTGGATATGAAATCTCAAGCAGCCAAGGAAAGAGAAAAACTCTAATAAAGAGTTTAAAACTCACCTTATCTCGGTCAATCTTATGCGAGAACGGACAAGACCCATCGACGTTTTTACAGCGACCACGCAGAAATCTATTATAAAAAAATACAAGACCTTGTCAAAAATCTGCCCTATTTAAGCTACGTGTTCGTCCAAAACTCACAACTTAATCAAATTCAGTTTTGACGTTACAATAGTGCGATAAATTTAAACGCATACTCACTTGGTACACACCGCAACTTTTGAAGGGTCATGAATGTACGGACAAGTGTCCTGCTTGTTGCATTTTCCTGTAAAAAAAACATAACGAAAGTGTAATACAAGGGGTCACAAAGCAATGTGAAATGCAGTCACGTCTATCTATTTCTACTTACAGACCATTACCAGAGAGAGATAAACTGATCACGTTAGTATAGTTTAAGACGAGTTATACAGACAGATAACTTGACTTCTCCTGATTGAACTCAGGGCGCCCGCGTCAATCTGTTGTTGTTGTTGTTTGAAAACATTACCCCAAAGAAAGAAAATTTGTATCGAGCTCTCACCCATTTTTGAGACCGTCTTTGGAGCAACCCTGAATCCTCCATTCACTAGTCATGACTGCATTTTTTAAGGGTTTAATGCGCGCTCTTATTGGTTGATTTATAGTCACGTGACAACAGCTACATCTAAATGACGCCCCCGCGGGCAACAATTACGCTCTTCCCGGACCGCTCTCCCACTAACCAGAGGTTACTTTAACTTCTTTCTTGCCTTTTTACTTTACACTCAGTGCGCTACAGCTATATAACAAAACACTTTATTACTGGTCCTTTGGAAAACAGTTAGTTTTGTTTTTCCCTCCAATATCGAGATCCTCAGGAAAACAGAACTAATTGTTTCCCTCGGAACCAGATAAAACAGATAAGTCGCGTGATTTAGTGACTCGACCGAAGTCGACTTCTCTTTTTGGCTTTTTGAGTTTATGTTGAATGTCTTTCAGCAGACTCAATAAATTATTGGCCAAGGGAAAATGAGGTCTCGTACAGTGGTTTTCATTACCATATGAGCTTACCAAATCTATTGTAGAACATGCAGTACTGCTGTGAAGCTGGCGTCTTTTTGTACAGTCTGGCATTGTTTATGCTACGCCGCAATACACGGCTGAAATCATCAACGGAAAAAAAAAAAACAGGAAACAGTTAGATACACCATTTTACCTTACCCAAATTTGCAACATGCCATGGGCATTTGGCCCGACTTCGTCTCACCAAAATACGAAACCACGGCTCGATCAAATTCGCCTCATATGCTGCCGATTCAACACTAAAAAGGTTCAATTAGGTATACATGTAAATATCAGTCCTTTCAATCTATCGTTGTTTGCAAATGTTAGACTGAAAGACAGCTAGGTTTTTATTAGAGTTCAGTGACTAGAGTGGGAAAATCCTTGATGCGTGGAAGAATTTAAGTATAGCAAGGTCCTTATAGACTGACCAGCAGTGGCAAAGGGATCTTTGAAGTCTGGCTTGACCAACTGTACCCAAAACGTGTTGAATCACATTGTTTCTTAACGGAGTTACGTCACGGTTTGGGCATCTTGAAAAGTTTAGCCTATGTTCGTCGTTTGTAATCCGCGTGAATCTTCTCCATCCTTCACCATCCTTGTTTCTTTATGGTTTATTGATATCTCTTTGGTGTTTTTCTAATTTAGTTAACTACTATTTTTAGGTTTCTTTCAATTCAAAAGTACTTTTGTACGAGGCTAAAACAACTCAAATACCGTGACTGAGCTCCTTTAAAGCCCACTTTATATTTTTCCAAAAAATTTAGCCTCTCTAGTAGAGCTCATTCTCCCTCCCACCAAACGTCTACACACCCTTCCCATCTTCCCTTGCGTCACTCGTCCCGGTAAGGTACACACTAATTAACAATTAGAGGCGAAGCCGAATGGGCTATTGACCCGTGGCCCTTGAGGGCGAAGGGTCTAATTGTTTTAGTATCACCCAACTAGTCGGACAGAAAAGGTAATAAT